GTAGGCAGACCTGGGTCCCCACCCAGCTCTGCCCCTCATTTTAAGCACAGCCCTATGCAAGTGAGGTCCTGCACTGAACCTGCACTGGTGACAATAACACCGAGTGTGGCACAGGAGTAGTGCTATTGTGTGCAAAGCAACTAACACGGTCCTGGCACTGGTTTTCAGAAGAGGCGGGGGCAGAAAGGGGAGGAGACGGAGGATGAGATTAAGATTTATTAGATGTTGTGAGAAGGATGTCTTTTCCCCTCTGCCTCACTCCCCTCGACAGGACAGATGACAAAACCCACAAGATGAATGGAGAAGAGATTCAAGAAGAAAAATCCTCACAGCCAAGAGTGGCCACACTGGCATCTTCCCCTCCGAGGCTGCTCTTTTCCGGGGGGTTGGGATTTACTAAGCTGACCTCAGTCAGACCTCCGTATCGAAGGGCTCGTAGGATGTTTATAGAAGGGGGCTTTCAGAACAGCAAGGAAAAAATAAGCATGTAAGAACGAAAAGCCTCAGGGAACTAAGACCCCACAAGGGAGAAAAGGTAGAAGAAAGGAAGCCATTGACTGTGCAGAGTCACGCTTGCGGGGCCCTCCATCCTGCTGCTCAGAGACTCCCACCCTCACCCCTCGGCCCCCGGAGCCCAGACTTCAGTGAGGCCAGTAATTCTCTCTGCTGGTGGACTCCCTGGGGTCAAAAGGATGCTCCTCTGGTACTGGTGATGCCTTCAGTGATGTTTCTGAGGAAATGCAGCTGACACCCCACCCTAAGGACTGTGCAGAGCTCCTGTAAGGCAGGTGGCTACAGGGGCTGAGTCTGGAACACATGAGTGAGAAGCCCAAAGTACAGAATTCATTTTTAAATGCAACTGTATCATCTTCAGAAACCACGTGTCTTCTACCAGTTTTGTCCATCACGTGGTATTCGCAAGTCTCCCATGGAGTCAATCTGATTTCCTTACAGTCATTCCTCACACAGCTTGGTGCAAACATTCACTGACACCCAGGATAAGGTAACTCATGAAGATGCAAAATCTAAAATAATGCTAGATTCCAGGATAATGGCTCACAGACGCTGACACCGCTCAGGAGAGCAAAGTAGCACGGTGTCCACAAGCATGGGGGCCATCGAAACTCAGGTTGAAACGCTGGCCTTGCCGGTTAGTATGTGTGATTTTGAACAAATGCCCAAGACTCAGTTTTCTCACTGGAGAAAGGAACAGCGCTGTTGGAATTAAATGAGATAATATATGTAAAGGTTTAGCACTGTCTAGAGTGTGATAGGTGCTTAGTCAATCACCATCATCCTCGCCGTCATCATTTCAAAACAACATTCTTAATCTGAGACACGTGTTTTCCATTAATAACAATTGCATATTGATGGGAGTCTGAGTTGAGCATATTTACAAGGCCAGCATTCATTTCTCTCTCTTTGCAGACATGACCCGAGCTAACACGGAGAGACGGTTTTGTAGAAAGTGAGTGTGCGAGTGCTTGTGAGAAGGAAGAGAGAGGCAGAGGGGGCTGGGGCTGCCTCCAGGAGGAAGATGGGATTGCTGAGTTTGCTCAGAGCCCCAGAAGTGCGTGGCTGAGGCCCCTCATGTCTTTGTCTTCCCACTGTCTCTGTACTAACCCTCGCCTCGGGGCCATGCACGGTTCCCAAGACCTGCTATTCCACCACAGAACAGCAGGGGGCGGGAGGGGAGAACCACCACCCAGGACATCCCTTGGTGCCCAGTTTTGGAGGATGTGAAGGGCGCCCCAGGCAGCCACTCATTCATGCGCCTATGTCCCTGTGAGAGGAGAGAGGTGAGAACGCTTGTTTTCAGAATCAGTGGGCAGGGGCAGAAGTGGGAGGAGAGGGAGAGATTAGGATTTGTCTCTGGAGTGTTTCTGTCATTTTTGTGGTGCATTTTCACCCTCGGATTCCTCCTTGTTGTTCTTCAATATCTTACCCTCTCTCCTGTGTCCTCAGGGATCCCTTTTTGCCTTCCAAGAAGCACCAGATGCTGGAGACCAGATGTCTACAAACTTTTTTGTAAAAAGCCAGAGAGTAAAATATTCTACTCTGCATGCCTGGTGGCCTCCATTGCAACCACTCATCTTTACCGCTGTATCACAAAGCAGGCGCAGACAGCATGACCAGGCAGGGCTGGGTTCCAATAAAACTGTATTTCAAAAACCAGCACCAGGCCAGAGCTGGCCTGCGTAGCATAGTGTGCTGACCCCTGCCCTAGACCCCTCCTGTCCTCCTGTTCTCCATCAAACCTTACACCCCCTGTGTTCCAGGCTTTCAGGCTCTGACTCTGGGGGGAGGAAGCACCTCTCATCTGATACCCTAAGTCGTCAATGATCAGCAGGGTCTGAGGTGTCCTCTCCCACAGTCAACAACGTATAGACATTGAACAGGAAATGCCTCCAACCAGACAGTCGCCAGCGTGGAATTTCAGGTGTCCTGGCAGATCTGAGCTCAGTGGCCCAGGCTCTGAAGATAGAGAGCCTCTGGTGGTACCTCTCAAAGTGCAGACAGATGTCACAACCCAGCTGCCAAGAGGGAAGCAGGCCATCACCAACCATCACCCAGCTTCTGTCTGCAGTGTTGTAAATATTATGGGCATGACGGTGCCCTCCGCCTCTCTCGGGGAATTTCCAGGCTGCTCCCTGAAGCTCCCACCTCCTCTTTCAGCAGGGGCAGGGGGCTGCCTGACTCTGGTGCCGAGTTCTCCGTGAAAGTACGCAGGGCCTAAAATATGCACACACTGATTTGTCCAAGAGAGAAGAAAGTGCGAACCGAGCCAGGAGACTTCTCATAGAGCCAGCAGGAGTACTGGAGAGAGGGAGAGGAGGGAACATCTTCCAACAGCAGAGACGCGGGAGCGGAGGGAGGGAGGGGCGGCCCCCCTCCATGGCCAGAGGCTCCCACACCCAGATGCAGGCCAGAGCCATTCCTCATAATTTAAGCTGACACCCCTCAGCGGAGATGAAAGGAACACCACTTGCTGTCTCCAACAACAAATGTCAGCTTCCCTGGAGGCCGTTTAGACACAAACGCAGCATAAATCTGACTCCTAGAGGGGAAGTCCAGAGATGAAGTCTCCATGCACAGCCTACCAGGGTGAGATGAATTTGCTTGGCACAAAGTTGGAGCATGTTTCTCAGGGCCTTTCTTTCCCCTTTCTTGTTAAAAAAAAAAAATCTGGAATGGCTCAGGGCTGTTGCTCCCCGCTTGCCTGGTCCTCCCACTCGTTTATGACATAAGCAATGGTAGATGAAAGGCCCAGCCATGGTTTATGGCCCCGAGACA